CTGGAAGGTAGAAGGAACTCAGATTAAACAGACATGGAATCAAGCAGAGCACTGTGAGAAAGAGTGCCCAGGACAATAGTTGTGCAGCAGGTCTAGTGACTCCCCAGGCCAAATTAGAACAAGAGGTTGTAAAACTCAAGAAGGATTTCTTCAAGGAAAAAAAAAAAATAGAACCGATGGATTACCCAATAAATTTGACCATGTGGAAAGTAGGATTAAGAGGGGTTTTTCTACCATAAGAACTCTTAATCATAGGAAACAAACAGAGCTGCTAGAGGAGAGGAGGGTAGGGGGATGGGGTAACTGGGTGATGGGTGTTAAGGAGGGCATGTATATAATGAGCACTGGGTGTTATATAAGACTGATGAATCACTGAACTCTACCTCTGAAACTAATAATACACTATATGTTAATAAATTGGATTTAGGGGCACCTGGGTGGCTCAGTCGGTTAAGCATCTGCCTTAATCCCAGGGTCCTGGGATCAAGCCCTGCATCTGACAACCTGCTCGGTGGGGAGCCTGCTTCTTCCTCTCCCTCTGCCTGCCACTGCCCTTGCTTGTGTTCTCTCTCTCTCTCTGTCAAATAAATAAATAAATAGATAGCTAATAAATAGATAAATAAATACATAAATAATAAATACATATAAAAATAAATATAAATAAAAATAAACTGGATTTAAATTTAAAAAGATGGTTTTTTAAAATTTTGTCAGTGAGCTTAATCATAATTAACAATAAATACATATATTTAACAATAAATACATATATTTTCTATATATTTCTACATATATAGAAAAGAGTAAAGTTTAAATCAAGCATAGAGGTTACTATAATATAGCTAAGAAATTCTAGGAAGAACCAGGAGAAGAAAATCCCACCAAACTAAAAATCTGTGAAGAAAACTTATGAGTGACTTGATCCTTCTAAAAGCACAAAGATTTCGAAGGAGAAAAGATGGCGGAGGAGTAGGGGACCCTATTCCAACTGGTCCCCGGAATTGAGTTGGATATCTACCAGACCACTCTGAGCACCCACGAAACCAGCCTGAGATGTAAGAAGATCTGGATCTCTACAAATAGAATATTGCAGGCACTTGGTTTCAAGGTATGAAGCGGGGAGCCATGATTCCGAGGGCAGATATTGAAGGGGAGTGGGAGGGAGCCTGGCGGTGGGGATCCTACACAGCCAGTGAGTGACAACCTCCCACGCTGGGGACAGAGCACAGACTTGCAGACTGGCAGCGGCAGGGAAAGGACTTTGGGGCAGCCCCCTGGATGGAAACCTGGAACGGCGGGATCCCGAATGTGAATGGGGAACGGCTGGTGCTTTTAGAAGCACAAAGGGCAGAGACCTGCTCCAACCTGGAGGCAGGACTGGGAGCGCTGCGGAGGGGAGCACAACCCAGGCTGCTGCAGTTTATAGCAGCGCAGACAGAAAGAGAGATGGTGTGGCCTGGAGAGCTCACTGAAGAACAGACTACGATCTCTCTGCTCTGAGGCAAAGGGTTGGAAATGGTCTCTTCTGCTCTGACTCGCAGAAGAGATGCGGAAAGCCACCAGAGAACAAAAGCCCCCAAAACTGGTTCCCACTGAGCCCATCCCCCACCACAGGGGGGCAGGTCAACTCTGCCCAAACAGGGTTGCCTGAGTAACAGTGTGGCAGGCCCCTCCCCCAGAAGACAGGCTGGGAAAACAAGAGGCCAGTAACCCTAAGGTCCCTAGAATACAGGTGCCTCCTCCTTGGGTTGTGGTCAATAATTTGGACTCTATACATTCCCTCAACCACCCATCAACAGAATGACTAGGAGGAGGAACCCTCAAAATAGAAAAGACTCAGAGATTATGACTTATGCTGCAGATTTACAAATGGATGCAGATATAACCAAGATGTCGGAGATGGAAATTCAGGCTAGCAATTGTGAAGACAATAGCTAGAATGGAGAAATCAATTAATGGCAACATAGAGTCTCTGAGGGCAGAAACAAAAGCTGAATTGGCAGAACTTAAAAATGCTATCAATGAGATCCAATCTAATCTAGATAATCTAACAGCTAGGGTAAATGAGGCAGAAGAATGAATCAGTGACCTGGAAGACAATTTAATAGATAAAAAGGGAAAAGAGGAGGCCAGGGAAAAACAACTCAGAATCTATGAAAATAGAATCAGAGAAATAAGTGACACCATGAAGCATTCCAGTGTCAGAATTATTGGAATCCCGGAGGAAGTGGAGAGAGAGAGAGGACTAGAAGATATATTTGAGCAAATCATAGCTGAGAACTTTCCTAATCCGGGGAATGAAACAAACATTCGTGTTCTAGAGGCAGAGAGGACCCCTCCCAAGATCAAGGAAAACAGGCCAACAACCCGTCATGTAATAGTAAAACTCGCAAATTTTAGAACCAAGGAAACCATCTTAAGGGCAGTTAGGGGGAAGAGATTCCTTATGTAAAGAGGGAGGAACATCAGAATAATGTCAGATCTATCCACAGAGACCTGGCAAGCCAGAAAGGCCTGGCAAGACATATTCAGGGTACTAAATGAGAGAACATGCAGCCAAGAATACTTTATCTGGCAAGGCTGTCATTTAGAATGGATGGAGAGATGCAGGGCTTCCAAGACTGGCAGAAACTGAAAGAACATGTGACCACTAAGCTGGCCCTGCAAGAAATATTAAGGGGGGTTCTATGAAAGGAGAAAGACCCCAAGAGTGATACACAACAGAAATTTACAGGGATAATATATGAAAACAACGTCTTCACAGGCAACATGATGACAATTAATTCATATCTTTCAATAATCGCTCTCAATGTGAATGGCCTAAATGCTCCCATAAAACGGCACAGGGTTGCAGATTGGATGAAAAGACAGGGCCCATCCATATGCTGTCTACAAGAGACTCATTTTGAACCTAAAGATACATCCAGACTGAAAGTGAAGGGATGGAGATCCATCTTCCATGCCAGCGGACCTCAAAAGAAAGCGGGGGTAGCAATTCTTATATCAGACAAATTAGATTTTAAACCAAAGTCTGTAGTTAGAGACACAGAAGGACACTATATCATTCTTAAAGGGTCTATCCAACAAGAAGATCTAACAATTGTAAATATCTATGCCCCCAACATGGGAGCAGCCATCTACATAAGCAAACTGTTAACCAAAATAAAGAGTCATATTGATAACAATACGTTAATCGTAGGAGACCTCAATACTCCACTCTCAGCAATGGACAGATCATCTAAGCAGAAAATCAAAAGGAAACAAGAGTTTTGAATGATACACTGGACCTCATATTTACAGAACATTCCACCCTAAAACAACAGAATACTCATTCTTCTCGAGCGCACATGGAACTTTCTCCAGAATAGACCACATACTGGGTCACAAATCAGGTCTCAACCAATAGCAAAAGACTGAGATTATTCCCTGCATATTCTCAGACCACAGTGCTTTAAAACTGGAACTCAATCACAAGAAAAAATTTGGCAGAAATTCAAACACTTGGAAGCTAAAGACCACTCTGCTCAAGAATGTTTGGGTCAACCAGGAAATCAAAGAAGAACTTAAACAATTCATGGAAATCAATGAGAATGAAAACAGGTCGGTCCAAAACCTATGGGATACTGCAAAGGCGGTCCTAAGGGGGAAATACATAGCCATCCAAGCCTCACTCAAAAAAACAGAAAAATCCCGAATTCACCAACTAACTCTACATCTTAAAGAACTAGAGAAAAAGCAACAAACGATGCCTAAGCCACGCATTAGAAGAGAAATAATTAACATTAGAACAGAGATCAATGAATTAGAAACCAGAAGCACAGAAGATAAGATCAATAAAACTAGAAGTTGGTTCTTTGAAAGAATTAATAAGATAAATTAACCACTGGCCAGACATCCAAAAGAAAAGAGAAAGGACCCAAATTAATAAAATTATGAATGAAAGGGGAGAGATCACGACTAACACCAAGGAAACAATTATTAGAAATTATTATCAACAACTATATGCCAATAAACTGAGCAATCTGGATGAAATGAATGCCTTTCTGGAAACCTATAAGCTGCCAAGACTGGAACAGGAAGAAATTGACAATCTGAATTGCCCAATAACCAGTAACGAGATTGAAGCAGTGATTAAAAACCTCCAAAAAACAAGAGTCCAGGGCCTGATCAATTCCCTGGGGAATTCTACCAAACATTCAAAGAAGAAATAAAAAAAAATAATACCTATCTACCTAAAGCTGTTTCAAAAATAGAAACAGAAGGAAAACTTCCAAACTCATTCTATGAGGCCAGCATTACCTAAATCCCCAAACCAGGCAAAGACCCCATCAAAAAGGAGAATTCTCCCTGATGAATATGGATTCCAAAATCCTCAACAAAATCCTAGCTAATAGGATCCAACAATTCATTAAAAGGATCATCCACCACGACCAAGCGGGATGTATCCCCAGAATGCAAGGGTGGTTCAAAATTTGCAAATCAATCAATGTGATAGAACACATTAGTAAGAGGAGAGAGAACAATATGGTCCTCTCAACTGATGCAGAATGCAGAATCCTTTCCTGAGTATTTTATGGTGACTAACATAACATAATAAAATTTTAAAAATTAAATATATATATCTAAAAATAAACAAATAAATAAAAATAAAAGCACAAAGATTTCTTTAAAAATACAATTTAGCCTTTTCCCAAAACCAGAAGTATTAATTTAAAAGTATACTACTCAAGCCAACTTACTACTAGTATAGAGTAGCCATTAAATTATTAAATTATTTTTCATTTTACTTTATTAAATAATAAACTTTGCTGTAAAATATGGCTTATTGAAAACAAACTTCTGCATTATTCTTCTGGACATAACTCTTAATGGGGGAGGAGAAGGACATAAAAAAGAGGGTGGGGAGATTATGCTTGAGAGAAATTCTCTGCACACTCCTGTTTCATTCTTCTGTAACTTCTCTGAAAGAATGAACATATCAAGCAAAAACCGGAATTACTAACCTGGATTCAGCTCAAAGGACAGAGTCTTGTTGCCGGTCACGTGGGAGACAGAGCAGGACACGTTAGACACCTGGCGGTCCTCCCAGCGGCATGTACTCAGGACGGTCACTGTGCCATTGCCCAACTGTTGTTCCGCAGTGTGACAGTCTCCCCCTGGGGTCCAGGAGATCTGTGCAGCTGGCTTCCCTGCAGCTGCCCTGCACACGAGGGTTCCATTGCTGCCTCGAAACAGGGTCACCTCGGGGGGCACTGCAAAGATGCAGGGGAAGTGCTTCAGGCTTAACACGTGGGGTATGGAATAGAGAGAGATTTGGTTCAGTCCCAGATCTGCTTCTCTGACGTACCCCAATATGTCATGCACCTTACCTAACACTTGGAGGTGATATCCAAGACCGAAATTCCCATCAGGTGCGGCCACTTCACACCTGTAATATCCATCATGAGTGGTGGCCACGGGATCAATCTGAAGGGCAGGATTCTGATCGGGTCTGGACTCCCAGGATATTCTCTCGTCGGTACAGTTTCTTTCACTGGTCTCATTGTTATCTCTCCTGTAGGCTCTGATGCAGGAAGGCTTGTCTCGGAGGTTTATTTCCCACCTTATTATCAGCACATTTGTTAAGCTGACAGAAGGGCAAGTGAGCACAGCCTTTGTCGCCACAGGTGCAGACCGAGAAGTGTTAGCTGGACACACACAAGGAGGAAGAAAAGAAAAGCTTGATAAAAAACTTCAGGTGTTCAATTTTCCCCAACATAGCACATAAAGTAGTACTAGAACATGACTTTGCTGGTGATCCTATCCCAAAATATTAGGCCTACATAAAAAATTAAATATGAACCAAAATATATAGCACATTAAACCTAATCCAAAGATGAAAGCATTTTCTCATGTTCTGTGTTATTAGATAAACTATATTTATTATATATATATGAGAAATATTTTAAGGGTCTAAAATCACTTCAGAAGTTCTGTATAAAACAAACAAGAAAACACAATTTAAATTAAAGGACAACGTCATCTAAATCTAATCTTTTGGTAGCAGAAATTATTAGATTTATCTTATAACTGGTTCTCCTCAGGACAGAAAGTGGAAAAATTGATGATGTGGTTTTCTCCTCCTATGTTTTGGTCAGAGAGACTAAATCAGTACTATCAGAATGAAATGCCTATCCCGAAGGGTGCCACTTCGGACAAACATAAATAAAAAGCATAAGATGGCATTCAGGTTGAACAAACTGGACTTTTTTAAGCTACTTTTTATTTGGAGAATCACAAAGTCAGTAAAAGCAACAGATTTTCCTTCCTTCCTATTGAGTCACACATATACTGCCAAACAGTCCCACTATGAATTTGCTCACAGATGTTGGTTCTAGACATTCTACCTAATTATGAGGATTAAATGAAGAAGTTCACTGCTTTTGCCCATTTAGTGTAAAAATTACGCCCTGCAACCTATGATTTTTCTCCAGTCTAGAAGCTTCAGCTCTCCCATAAATACACATAATGCATCCATGACTGGGAGGGCTTTGCTGAGAGAGGATTAGGGGCATCAGGTACCACGTACTGTAACGCAGACGTGTGGCAGGGAGCTCATCACTTTAACGTGAGCAGAACCAGCTGTGACGGGCTAAGCTGTTATGTGGGTGAACCTCGTTGTGCGAAACTCTGTATGTGAGATCTCTCCTCTCCTCTTTTGGTGTCACTTGCCTCCTCTGTGATGGACTCAAGATCTTGCATTTCACAGCCAAATCAAGATCCCACAACTGCAGGAAGCAAGTGGGGGTGGATTTTAGAGCAGATCTGAGGGGCAGTTAAAACCATGCTCCTCCTACCACTGCAGGTGGCTCCCCACCCTAGGCAACTTGGCCAAGGCTCAGAGGCCAGCAGCAACACAGCTGCTTGGAGAACAGCTAGGGGTGGGTGTGGGTGAGCACACATGTGCCCAAGGCCAGGATGCTGAAGATGACCGCAGAAAGAGAAGAGGCTGGTGAGGAACATGTTGTGAGTGTTCTGTTTGTACTTCAGCCTGTGAACAGTCTAAGGCTTTAATATTTTGCCTGATACTTATTCTCAAGATCTGACTCTATTATTTTAAAGGAACCTACGAGCTGATCAATTAAACATATGCATTTTAACAAGGGCACAGTCTCCAGTGAAGTAGCTCCATCAGTGAGGATCCCAAGCACCATGGGTAGTCTCTGTTCTTTCAGCTTGCTCTGCTCTATGACCCTCCAGCAATCCCCCTTCACCTGCAGTGTCTATGACTCCCCCCCAGCCTCTGCAGCCTTCTGCACACAAATCCCTTTTCCTTTCTGTTCTCACTGCCTTACCCTAGTTTAAGACCCTATCACGACACACCTGGACCACTACAGAAGCCTCCTCCCATCTGTCTCTCTGTCAAAATTCTCCTCTCCTCACCTCATACCTTACCTTGCAGCCAGGTACATGATTCTGTAACACAGGGGTGAGCCTCTCCACTCCGACACCCTTCAGAGATCTCTCACTGCCTGAAGACAACACTTACATGTCTTTGTACTGGCTTTGAAAGCCCTCTTTTTCACACTGACTCACCTTGGCAAGCTTATCATCCCTGTGTCGCCCCCACACTTCAAAAAGGAAACAGCAAGCCCAAGTGCCTATCTAGGTCTTCCCTCAATGGTTCTTGCAGTCTGGGATGCCTACACAGTACCCTCTGTCTATGAAAACCCTCCTCTTCCTTCAAGAGCCAATTCACATGCTGCATCCTCCTTGAGGCCTTCTCAGGCTTTGGTGCTCTCTCTCCCTCCTCTACATTCCCGGCACACCTGATGTGAGGGCTTATCTCCTCTGTTTTATAGGGTATCTGTGCTTATTTCTGGGTTCCCCCACAAAACTGAACCCCTTTAGGGCGCTTTGGCAGTCTGGCTCACCTTGCTCATCTCTGTGCTCCCCACAAAGCCCGGCACAGTGCCTGATAGAGAGAGCTCCATAATCTTCCCATGGAATTGAACTGCTTTGGGGGAGGAGGACTGGGGTCACTCAGGGTCCCTCACACCACAGCATTCAGATCACCATACTCTTCAACTGGGCTCAAGCCTGGCCCCCTGACCAGACCGTCAACTATGCTTCTAAGGAAGTTCCACACTTCCTCCCTTTAATACTGGCCTCTAGAAAAAATTAAAACCCATATTACCTTCCACAGGAGGTGTGAGCTTGCTCTGCTTTCCTTCCACAGATGACTTATTTGTTGTAGCTAGAAAATATTCAAAGAAAAGTAAAAGAAAGCAATTTTAGGTGCCTAAATGGAGTGCAAGCCACTGTGTATCCACAAATCTTACAGAAACCATGACAGAAAATCAGTTAACTCTAAATAAATTCCACAAAAAGCTTTGCAAAACAGAAATTAGAAGTTACTCCATCAAGTGGAAAAACATGTTAATACTTCAAAATTACATTATAATTTCTTAATCAATGATTTCCCATTTATGGGACACCATCCTGTATACTTGGTAACCATTTTATCCGAGATAACTCTGCTTCCACCTCTTTCCTAGCCACAGTGGATTGGTCCATCATGGGTACCTCACATGAGCTGGGCTGAGTAGTGCTTTCTCAAGATGCCACCCCCAGGATTAAAGTTGTTTAATCCAGTGGTAGGCCTCACCCAGCTGCAGAAATGAGATTACTTTCAGGAGAATTTGGAACCAGATTGAGAAGAATAGCTCATCCCCTTTCTCCTCCCATTTTTCCTACTGTGACTGCTAATTTTACGTCAGCCTGGCTTAGACATGGTTCCTAGGTATTCAGTTAAACAGTATTCTAGATGTTTCTGTGAAAGTATTTTTTTAGATAAGATTAACATTTAAATGAGTAGACTTTCAATAAAATAAATTACCTTCCATTTGTGGGTGAGCCTTGTCCAATCAGTTGAAGGCCTTGATTGAAAAAAAGTGACCAGCTGGGAAAGTGAGTTCTATAGTAGACTGCCTTCAGACTCAAACTGCTATGCTTTCCTGGGTCTCTAGCTGCTGGCCCACTCTGCAGATTCTGGACTTGCCAAGGCTCTGCAATCATGTGAGCCAATTCTTTAAAATAAATCTCTCTCTCCCCCACAATTCCTCCTCCCTCCTCCTTCCTCTCTCTTTCCCTCTTTCTCTCTCTCTGTTATTCTGTTTCTCTGAGGAACTGATTAATAGACCCATCTTGGGAAGAATGAAGCAGAAGCAGAAAGATATAGAATGATACTCCTCACCTAGCTCGTTTCTAATTCCATAATTCCTGAGATCCACATGCATTCCTTCGCTTGGGTTCTACAGAGTTTCTGACAATCAAAGTAGTCCTAATGTACTTCAAATCCAGGTTCTGAAAAAAATTCTGTATTGAAGTAATTTTTGTAAAAACTTTTTTCTTAAACTATGGTTTATCCTGTGGAATATTCTGTGTGTGCTTGAGAAGAATGTGTTCTGCTGTTGGAAGGAATGTTCTGTACATGTCGATTAGGCCATTTGGTCTACAATGTTGTTCAAGTGCACTGTTTCCTTATTGATTTTATATTAGAAAGATCTATCCATTTTTATGTGGAGTATTACAGTTCCCTACAACTGCTATATTGTTTTCTATCTCTCCTTCAGTTCTGTTAATATCTGCTTTATGTATTTAGGTGCTCTGATGTTGTATGCATAAATATTTACAAGGGTTATATCCTCTTGATGAATTGACTCTTTTACCATTAGATAGTGACTTTCTTTGCCTTTAGTTACAGTTTTTGACTTAAAGTCTCTTTTCTCTAATATATCTATCCCTATTCTCTTGTGGTTTTCATTTGTATTGAACACCTTTTTCCATCCCTTCACTTTCGGCCTATGTGTATCCTTAGAGCTGAGGTCAGTCTCCTGTAGGTAACATATTATTGAATCTTATTATTACATCTGTTCAGACTCTATGTACCTTTTGATTGGAGAATTTAGTCCATTTATATTAAGATAATTGGTAGATATGTAGTTACTATTGCCATTTTGTTCATTGTTTTCTGATTGCTGTGAAGTCCCTTTATTCTTTTTCTCCTCTCCTTCTGTCCTTTGTGATTTGCTGATTTTTTGTAGCGTATGCTTTGATTTCTTTCTTTTTTTTTAAGATTTTTTTATTTGATAGAGTGAAAGCATGAGTGGAGGGGAGGGGCAGAGGCAGAGGGAGAAGCAGACTCCCTGCTGAACAGGGAGCCCGACGTAGGACTCAGTCCCAGGACCCTGAGATCATGACCTGAGCTGAAGGCAGACGCTCAACTGATGGAGCCACCCAGGCGTCCCACAACTGGAAGTTCATACTTTTGACCATTATCTCCCTCTTTTCCCAGTCCCCAGCCCCTAGGAACTCCCATTTTACTATCTGTTTCTATTAATTTAGCTTTTTAAAATTCCACATATAAGTGAAACCATACAGTATTTGTCTTTCTCTATCTGACTTATTTTACTTAGCATAATCCCCTCAAGGTCCATCCATCTTGTTGCAAATAGCAGGGTGTCCTTTCTCATGGCTGGATAATATTCCACTGTATATAAATACTGTATTTTCTTTATCCATTCAGCCACTGATGGATACTTAGGTTCTTTCCATTTCTTGGCTACAAAACTTGAATGCAGATATCTCTTCGAGATCCTGTTTCCATTTTCTTTGGATATATACTCAGAAGTGGGATTGCTGAATCATATAGTAGCTATTTGGGGGATTTTGAGGAAATTCCATACTGTTTTCCTTAGTGGCTGCACCAATATGCATTCTTACCATAATTCATGAGGGTTCACTTTTCTCAACAGTCTGAGGATTTGTTATTTCTTGTCCTTTTGATGATAGCCATTCTAACAGGTATGAGGTGACATCTCATTGTAGTTTTGATTTTCATTTCCATGATGATTAGTGATGTTGAGTACCTTTCCATGTACCTGTTGGCTCTTTGTATGTCTTTGGAAAGATGTTTATTCAACTTCTTTGCACATTTTTTTATTATTATGTTATGTTAATCACCATACATACATCATTAGTTTTTGATGTAGTGTTCCATGATTCATTGTTTGCGTATAACACCCAGTGCTCCGTTCAGTACATGCCCTCTTTAATACCCATCACCAGGTTAACCCATCCTCCTACCCCCCTCCCCTCTAGAACCTTCAGTTTGTTTTTCAGAGTCCATAGTCTCTCATGGTTCATCTCCCCCTCCGATTTCCCCCTTCATTCTTCCCCCCCTACTATCTTATTCTTCTTTTTTTTAACATATAATGTATTATTTACTTCAGAGGTACAGATCTGTGATTCAACAGTCTTGCACACTTCACAGCGCTCACCATAGCACATACCCTCCCCAATGTCTATCACCCAGCTACCCCATCCCTCCCACCCCCACCACTCCAGCAAACCTCAGTTTGTTTCCTGAGATTAAGAATTCCTCATATCAGTGAGGTCATATGATACATGTCTTTCTCTGATTGACTTATTTCGCTCAGCATAATACTCACCAGTTCCACCCATGTCATTGCAAATGGCAATATTTCATTCTTTTTGATGGCTGCATAATATTCCATTATATACATATACCACATCTTTATCCATTCATCTGTCAATGGACATCATGGCTCTTTCCACACTTTGGCCATTGTGGACATTGCTTCTATAAACATCAGGGTGCACGTAGCCCTTCGGATCCCTACATTTGTATCTTTGGGTTAAATACCCAGTAGTGCAATTGCTAGACCGTATGGTATCTCTATTTTCAACTTTTTGAAGAACCTCCATACTGTTTTCCAGAGTGGCTGCACCAGCTTGCATTCCCACCAGCAGTGTAGGAGGGTTCCCCTTTCTCCGCATCCCTGCCAACATTTGTCATTACCTGACTTGTTAATTTTAGCCATTCTGACTGGTGTGAGGTGATATCTCATTGAGGTTTTGATTTGGATTTCCCTGATGCCGAGCGATGTTGAGCACTTTTTCATGTGTTTGTTGGCCATTTGGATGTCTTCTTTGGAAAAATGTCTGTTCGTGTCTTCTGCCCATTTCTTGATTGGATCATTTGTTCTTTGGGTGTTGAGTTTAAGAAGGTCTTTATAGATTTTGGATACTAGCACTTTATCTGATATGTCATTTGCAAATATCTTCTCCCATTCTGTCGGTTGTCTTTTGATTTTGTTGACTGTTTCTTTTGCTCTGCAAAAGCTTTTTATCTTGATGAGGTCCCACTAGTTCATTTTTGCCCTTCCTTCCCTTGCCTTTGGTGATGTTTCTAGGAAGAAGTTGCTGTGGCTGAAGTCGAAGAGGTTGCTGCCTGTGTTCTCCTTTAGGATGTTGATGTACTCCTGTCTGACACTGAGGTCTTTCAACCATTTGAGTCTATTTTTGTGTGTGGTGTAAGGAAATGGTCCAGGTTCATTCTTCTGCATGTGGCTGTCCAATTTTCCCAACACCATTTGTTGAAAAGACAGTCTTTTTCCATTGGACATTCTTTCCTGCTTTGTCAAAGATTAGTTGACCATGGAGTTGAGGGTCCATTTCTGGGCTCTCTATTCTGTTCCTTTGTTCTATGTGTCTGTTTTTGTGCCAGTACCATACTGTCTTAATGATGACAGCTTTGTAATAGAGCTTGAAGTCCAGAATTGTGATGCCACCAGCTTTGCTTTTCTTTTTCAACATTCCTCTGGCTATTTGAGGTCTTTTCTGGTTCCATAAAATTTTAGGATTATTTGTTCCATTTCTTTGAAAAAGTGGATGGTATTTTGATGAGGATTGCATTGAATGTGTAGATTGCTCTAGGTAGCATTGACATCTTCACAATATTTGTTCTTTCAATCCATGAGCAGGGAACGTTTTTCCATTTCTTTGTGTCTTCCTCAATTTCTTTCATGAGTGTTTTATAGTTTTCTGAGTATAGATCCTTTGCCTCTTTGGTTAGATTTATTCCTAGATATCTTATGGTTTGAAGTGTGTAATTGTAAATAGGATCGACTCCTTAATTTGTCTCTCTTCTGTCTTGTTGTTGGTGTATAGGAATACCACTGATTTCTGTGCATTGATTTTATATCCTGCCACTTTACTGAATTTCTGTATGAGTTCTAGCAGTTTTGGGGTGGAGTCTTTTGGGTTTTTCACATAAAGTATCATATCATCTGCAAAGAGTGAGAGTTTGACTTCTTCTTTGCCGATTTGGATGCCTTTGATTTCTTTTTGTTGTCTGATTGCTATGGCTAGGACTTCTAATACTATGTTGAATAGCAGTGGTGATAGTGGACATCCCTGCCGTGTTCCTGACCTTAGGGGGGAAGCTCTCGGTTTTTCCTCATTGAGAATGATATTCGCTGTGGGTTTTTAATAGATGGCTTTTATGATATTGAGGTACGTACCCTCTATGCCTATACTCTGAAGAGTTTTGACCAAAAAAGGATGCTGTACTTTGTCAAATGCTTTTTCTGCATCTATTGAGAGGATCATATGGTTCTTGTTCTTTCTTTTATTAATGTATTGTATCACGTTGATTGATTTGCGGATGTTGAACCAACCTTGCAGCCCAGGGATAAATCCCACTCGGTCATGGTGAATAATCCTTTTAATGTACTGTTGGATCCTATTGGCTAGTATTTTGGTGAGAATTTTTGCATCCATGTTCATCAAGGATATTGGTCTGTAATTCCCCTTTTTGATGGGGTCTTTGTCTGGTTTTGGGATCAAGGTAATGGTGGCCTCATAAAATGAGTTTGGAAGTTTTCCTTCCATTTCTATTTTTTGGAACAGTTTCAGAAGAATAGGTATTAATTCTTCTTGAAATGTTTGGTAGAATTCCCCTGGGAAGCCATCTGGCCCTGGGCTTTTGTTTGTTGGGAGATTTCTGATTACTACTTCAATTTCCTTAGTGCTTATAGGTCTGTTCAGGTTTTCTATTTCTTCCTGATTCAGTTTTGGTAGTTGATACATCTAGGAATGCATTTCTTCCAGATTATCTAATTTGCTGGCATATAGTTGCTCGTAATATGTTCTTATAATTGTTTGTATTTCTTTGGTGTTGGTTGTGATCTCTCCTCTTTCATTCATGATTTTGTTGATTTGGGTCATTTCTCTTTTCTTTTTGATAAGTCTGGCTAGGGGTTTATCAATCTTATTGATTCTTTCAAAGAACCATTTCCTTGTTTCGTTGATCTGTTCTACTGTTCTTTCGGTTTCTATTTCATTGATTTCTGCTCTGATCTTTATTATTTCTCTTCTCGTGCTCAGTTTAAGCTTTATTTGCTGTTCTCTCTCCAGCTCCTTTAGGTGTAGG